GTATTTTCCTAGTGTGGCCGTATCTCCGGTATTTTCCTAGTGTGGCCGTATCTCCGGTATTTTCCTAGTGTGGCCGTACATTTATGGATTATTAATCTAGGCTGCTTTACGGACTGATATAACCCCTGTCCCACCACACTTGCATCCGCTGTGAATTTTTAAACACTCAAACAGTGGCTTTCCTTCTCGTTTTTGGTAGTGGATGTGTCGGGTGTTTGTCACTGCACCTCAGCAATGATCGTTTCGATTAAGTAACAATCAAATCGTATCGATTTGGAGGAGCTGCCGGCGCGTGAGATCCCCCTAAGCCGATGGGCTTTTCGGCTTTCTTCGGGTCGAAAAAGTCGGTCCTCGCACTGGGATTAAAGGGTGAATCTTGTCGACTTCTTGCATGAGTAAATCAAGAAAACTTAAGTCGAATAGAAAGTAAAGTTCCACCAAATTCTATCTCCAAGCACTTCTCCCAATCATATCCTATTAATTTTTCATTACTTTGCTCCCCGCTTCTTCCCAGACTCTTAGCATTTTTCTTCATTTGCCGAGAAGTGCTGCCGGGCAGATACGCAGATACATTATTGGTCACATTGAAATTTATATTGATGGTTCTTTGGCAACAGTTTGCATTAATTTCCAACGATTTGCCAAGCTGTTGTCCTTCATCCCCACACATCCCTGACACGGCTCCGGGCCACTGGACTCCTTCCTTCCCTGCGGTGTCCTTGCTCCTGCTGCACATTCTGCTCCTTCTGCCGCATATAAATAATGATTTCTTTGCCATTTGAATGGCAATCCATCCATTTGTCTTGTGCATTCTGACGGCATTAGAGGGTTGCACATGTGGAGAAGCTCGTTTCTTTTGTTCTTCTCTCGTTGATTCTCTTTCGTTGGGTTCTCCATCATTCATTCGTGTACAAAATTGCATTTTGTTGAAACAGAACAACGAAAAGATGCCCCAAATGCAAACACTTTAAGATATATATATATTCCGATTTCGATTTCGATCCATGCACCACGTATCTGTGGGCATTTTTTGTGTGATTTTTGCATCCTCATCGCAATTTTCTTTCACTTCTTATCGGGTTTCTCTCTCTTCCTCTGCCTCTTTCTCATATTCCAGCAACGAACAAAGATGTCGCCTACCAAGTCGTTCGTCTTCATATTTATTGCATAACCATTGTCAAAAATCGGTTGCATTGTACGCCCGAGCCCTGCCCCTTCCCCCTTCCTTTATTCCACTTTTCCTTGCATATTTTCGCATGCAATTCGTCAAGAATTTCATCGTCGCCCCTTTCGCTCCTTGGATGTTAATATCAACGCGAATTTAATAAGAAATATGCACGAGCAGGGTGGATCAGCGGGGAGAGGGGTGGCGACAGACAGGGTATTGCAACGGGGCCTCCATTATCCATTATCGGCAACATATTGCCTCCCCTCTTTCATATTTTATTTCCTCCTCTTTCGCCTGCAATATTTACGACTTGAGCGCTGCTTTATCTCTGTCTTTGTGCGTGCGTCATAATAATCAGAATATGTACAATGTATGGTATATGCTCGTATATTTAAAGTTCATAAACGATAAGCAATGTACTGCCCTTTCACTGTTCCAATTACTTCGATTTACATACATCGAATGGCTTTTAATAGAATTAACCAAAGAAAAACCTCCAAGAAACAAGTGACAGATAAACGCCTGATCCTACCGATACAATTAATTCCAAGGCATTTACAAAAGAAACTATTCACGGAATGGAGTGAAGATATAGAGAAGATCAAGTGTCTTTATTAGGAACCGGACATTGTTCTACCATCCCCAACCTCAAAGGAACATCCGCCCGGCCTGATGTCTAAACTTTTGAATAACTTTTTGATTGTTTAATGAAATTATAGCCGGTAATTCTAATGTATTGAACGCTGTTCGATTACGGCGCTCGATATCAGCAATAATCGATAGGCTATAGCCAGTGGTGCGATCCCTATTTTTGTGTGTGGTTTGCGGTGGTGCCTACTGTACCGTGAGCTACACACACACACACTAGAGCCCTGCCTGAATCTACAGCATAAAATCAAAGCTATGCTCATTAGTGTTGTGTTGCTCATGAGTGAGTGAACAAAAAAGAGTTGTTCACTTAAGTGAGCAACTGAACATGTTCCTTCCAAGCTGTTCTTTTTTGCTCACTTGTGCATTTTTGCTCACTTGTTCTTTGTTGTTCACTTGTTCACTTGTTCTCTACTCACTTTTTGCGCAATTTTGCTCCTCAAAGTACATTTTGCGATCTGGCAGCTGTTGCTTATATTTGCGTTTACTTCACATTTTTTGGTTTTACCGGCAAAGCTGTTTACTCTTTCAAAAATTCGATAGTATAGTGAAATTTTGAATCATCTGTGCATGAATAGTGAACAACTGAGTGAGCAAGTCAGCAACTGAGCAAGTGAGCAAGTGAGTAATCTAAGAGAGCAAGTGAGCAAGTGAGTGAGTTGACTCACTTACTAAAAAAGAACAAGTGAACATGTTCACCAAAATAAGCAATGTTTTCCCAACACTAATGCTCATGCCCCTTCAATGCGTTCGATCAATACGAATCCAGGCTTCAGTAGGCTTCGAATCACCCCAAATCCCTGCAAACCGAATCCGAGCTCTGCGGATTAATATCAGCCAGTGATTCGATACATACCACAGAGAAATCCTTGTGGACATACACATATGTACACCATAGTACAGTATTTTTGCACATGTCGCATAGTCGGCACCCTTGACGTCACATTCACAGCGAGAAAAGAACCGAATCGATTCGGATCTGACAGAGTAAAAATGTCGGGATTCGCTTATGAGAAAACTGAATCGCTGATTCTATCGGACCGAACGAAGCGAGTCCCGAATCCCACCGAATCGATTCGAATACTCCCGCACTGCAGCGGCCTTCTTTCGCCTTCTCTATCGCTCTCTTGCTCTGTCGCACTCTCGCTTGTCTTGGGTCCTGGGAATTCGGCCCTTGAATCTGGGCCTACCACTCCCTTCTTCCACTCTATAGTTCTTCAATCCGACCCCGTCTTGAATCGAGTTAATCATCGAACGGACTCGTCGTTCTCTCGTCCTACTCGACCCTTTCGTAAATACCATCCCCCACAATAAATCGTATTAAACCGAACAATTGTCGACTTTTAATATAAATAGAAAGATCGCAAACAAACGCTCCCTAAAAAGCTCAGTAGCTCAACAAATGCTCTGAGGTTATAGCCTGTGGTTCTAATTTCTAGACTGTTTTGTTTAGTTTTTATTTTTGGTAAAAATTCTATTTTTTTTCCTGTTAATTTTTTCTAATATTTTAGACATCCGTAGCGATATCGTTGTATCAAATTCGAATAAATCAAAAAGGAAAAAAATCAACACTGATTTGATGTTAAAAAAATATATAAAAAATTATAATATAAAATTAAACAGTTTTTCTATGAAATTAGTGTTTAATTAATTAAATATTAATAAGAAAAAGTATTTTTTTGTGTTAAAATAAAGCAAGTAAACCAATTTTTGGACTTTGTAAGAATCAAATGTACTCCAAAAATTTCAAAAAATAATTTTATTAATTTTCGTTGTATTTAGAATTGGAAATGCTTTTGGTTAATCTCCCAAATTGTAATTAAATTATAAGGCTAAGCTGTTCGGGCTCTATCAGAGAAGGACTCCACACACACACACACACATACAAGGAGAGATACCTTCGAAAGTGGCCACAGAACACAAGAAGCGCATTAAATTTTCACCTTTGGTTCAATTTTTCACCGTAATGACATTGCAGCTACTTTGGTCCCGAGATCTGATCTGGCAAGACCGCATTGGCGGGCTTTTGTTGCCGTTTCTGTTGCCGTTGTTTTAGCCCCCTTTTGTGGCAGTGTTGGCCTTTTCACTTTGATGCAATTTCGTGTAGCATACTTGCAGGCAGCGCACTTAAAAGACACACATCCGGCGAGCGAGAAAGGGCGAGAGCGAGACAGAGCAACGATAAAGTTGTGCTTTACGCTCCGTCTCTTTCCGGCGATAGACGAGTGTCTCTCGCTCTCGCTGCCGCTCTCGTTGTTTGGCCAAGAGACAAAAGCAACACGAAAACGCCTGCAGGATGTGTTGTGTGAGCAGAGAGAGAGACAGAGAGAGAGGAAGAGAGGGTGTGAGGGAGGCAGAGAGTGATAAAAAGCGGAAGTGCAGATTGCCCAAGCCCCAACGACGACTAAAGTGTGGAAATGTCAATTTGCTTTGTGGGCAACACAGCAACAGGGGGTTGGGGGTGGGGGGCAGACGCTCGAAGGGATTGTAGCAGCGGGAAGGATATATAGAGAAGAGATAGAGAGAGGAACAGCATCAGCAACTGCAACACCGAATATTGATTTTCAATTTGGAAAACGCACAGAGAAAGCTTTCACATCCCTTTCTCCGTCTGGGCTTCCTCTGTGCTGCTGTTTGCGGGACATAAACCCCGGAGTCAAGAGAAAGAAATGACACTGACGGTACAGTGAACCACCGATAAGCGATAAGCAGAATTTGCTGCCCATCGAAGATACTTTTGATCCACAGGCCAGCAGCGCCTGTGACCGCAGGAAATGCCGGAGGGCACCGGCAATGACGGGGGGTTTGAAAGCCACTGGGCGGCCAGACGCAGCGAAAGCTTAAAAGCAATTTTGTGGCTAATAAATCCGATTTCCGTTTTGTTTCGAAATAAATTGCCTGCAACGGGAAGGGGGGGACGCAGAGGGCGGAGGGGCCAGGCCGCAGGATGCGGCTGGCGCACTGACAGACGGAAATGGCTAGCAGGGGACGCAACAAACAAGGACCCACGTAACCGACGCATCCGCCGGATGTGCAAAATTAGCCTGTTTCTGTTGTCCCCACCCAACAGCCCCACCCCACCCCACACATGACCCAATTTTCGAATGCAACCCGCAACCGCATTGGTAATGCCACTCGGGGGGAAAATCCTACTGTATCCACAAACATCCTTCAGCCGCAGGACTCAAGGCCTCGAATCGGCTCCACTCACCTGAACATCAAAATTTTGCTGCTGCTGCAACAGATTGCCGGGAGACTCCATGTGATTGGGTCCAGCTCCTTGGTGGTTCATCATCGGGGACTGTGGAAGATCAGACGCGGAGATCCCACTCATTAAACACAAATTAGGAATAAGTAGGACAGTGTACACGGACATCATTTCGATTGGGTTTCAAATAATTGGCTTAAATACTTTTATAAAGATTTCCCATATCTTAGATCTCAATAGATTGCAGATGGAGGATTGATGGGGATTCATATTCGCCCGTAAAGAGTGTTTTATCTAGATCGTACTTGACCAGGCATCCAATAATCACATCATAAAATCCCAAAACACAAGCTGGCGAGTGCTTCCCAAACTGTAGTGCTTACCTGTGCCGCCATCGGCATTCCACCGCCCACGCCGTTCATCATCGGCGGCTGCAACTGGTTCATCTGTGCCGCCATCTGCTGGTGTGCCGCATACCCCCCACCACCTCCGCCGCCACCGCCGCCGCCCACGCCGTTGCCATGGATGCGGCACTCGCCCATTCCGGATCCGCCGCCCAATCCACCGCCTACGCCCACGCCCATGCCCTGTCCGTGGTCCATGAGCATGTGGTTGAAGGGGGGCGGCAGCTGGGGGAATCCGCCGTGCTGTGAGTGGTCGAGTAGATTCTGGGGGCGTGGCAGGGGCAAGGTCTCTTCGGCGGGCGAAGGCTGCCGCGAGCCGGGAGTGCGACTGGATATAGAAAGAGAGAAAGAAAGAGAGAGAGATAATTATAGATTTAATTGAATTAAAAGTTGTTTTTGCTTAAAAGTAGGTAACATACAGTTTTACAGCATAGTGTAAATGCAGTTTTACATTAATTGTTCAGGTAAACAGTTTCAGACTGACTGAAACGTAAAGTGCATTTCTATTAACAGAACAGTTTGAGGAACGTCGTGTTAATATTCAGGATATTTAACAGAACAGATTTTATCCAATAACAGTCGGCGCAGTGGGGCTCCATGATGTACATAGTTGATACTTTCTTGTTTACTGTGCGGTTTCATACATTTTAGCTTTTGTTATCGTTCACAATCTTTGTTTTCATATATCAACGGTTGTACATTCACTGTGACAACCGCTTAGCCACGACTTACACCACAGCCAGGACATGACCCCATGAACTAAATGCACATGTTACACAATTGTCTTCAAACTTCAGTTTCTAAAACTGTGGTTGGGACAGTTTGAAAATGAAAATTTCGAATATATGAAAATTACAAGGAAATCAAAGTGGAATCGAATCGTTTGAAACAAAAACAAATTCTACAGATGAATGACTAAACATATCAATCAATTATCTGAATTAAATTTCAGCGCAATTATCACTAATTATCGCCAAACAGTTTCTAAGCCACTGTTCCGAGGGCAAAACAAAAGACTCAAGCGACAAACTTGTTTCGAGCCAAAGACCCATGACGTCAGCGCCCAGCTGGGACCCAAAGTCCATAAATAACACTCGAATCAGCATGGAGACAGCGTTTTTAACGAGCGGCGCTTAAAATGCAAATCAAAAACTAAACAAAAAGCCTGCAAAAAAAGCAACAACAAAAGATTTTAGATCACACTCCGAGCAGCAGATGTTTTTCAGATCATCCCGCTGTACATTTACCGATTAAATATTGCGCTCCGAAACTCAGCAGCTTCCATTCATTCATTCAGTCAGTCATTTATTCACTCGCGCTTAACCCAATGCACTTAACCCCCTCTCAATGCAAAGTCAATGACTTTGCAACTGTTTTACTTTTTCCCTGCCTGTGCAGATGTGTGGGTATACCCTTTTACAGGGTACTATGAACGAAGTAGACCAACATTTCGGATGAACGAGTGAATCTATGAGTGATTTTTATATACCCCTTTCAGAGGGTATTATATGTTTTGCCGAGGGTTTGCAACGCAGACTCCAAATAAATTATTTCGATGAAAAATTGTAATAAAGAATTATTGTTTCAAGTTTCATAATTGTTTGGGTTTCGAAACATAAAATCAGAATGGAAATAGATACAATTTTCAGTAAACCGGCAACGTAAATGCTCTTCTTCTGTAGCTTTAAATTATATAAAAATCTAAAGAATATTTCAGATGACACTTGGAAGGGTATCGAAAGCATCGACACCATTTGCGACCATTTGCGGGCATTCCTTTCTTTCTATAGCTAATGGCCGTTTAGCTGTCTATCTTGTTCCTCTCCGTCTCTCTGCTCCTCTCTCTCTCTCTCTCTCTCTCTCTCTCTCTGCCCCAGCCCGGTTGCATGTGGTAATTGCCATCTATAATTTCATTGTCGGGTCATTCACATCGCATTCGACAAACACAATCCCACAGCAGCAGAACCGAACCGAACCGAACCGAACCGAAATGATTAGCAATATTAGCCAGTGCTGCTGAAACTACAACACTGAGAGAAACGGCAGTTCTACTGCCACTTAATGAGTGTGAATAATTGGAGGAGAGAGGCCAAATTATAACCAATAACTGACAGAACTGTCAAACCATTGCGTGTTTTGTTAGGTGATTGATAATCAGCGCTCACAAACTTGTGAAGAGCCCAAAAACTACTCGTATCTATCAACAATCAACGAAATTAGATGACCTTCCAATGTTTGGGAATATTTAATAAAGTATTTATGAGTTTGTACGAGACAAAGATAGTCTTTATATGAGCGGCAGGACCTTTTGAAGAGTAATAGAGAATACATCGATATGGCGATACATTATCTTAATCTAGAAATTAATTCTTTCTCTTTTGAGCTCTTTCGATGGTCTGTGTATATAAACTAAATTGGATTTTAATGAATCACACTAAAGAATTCTTTATTTCCCGCACAGCACTACACAGAGGCACAGAGATACAGCGATAAAACCCTCTCGGGAGCGTGGTGGTTTATGACAAATCGATAGTATTACTCCCATCATTTTAATTGGTCAATTGCTCGATTCGTAAGAGCCACAACAGCTTCTTGAGCTGATGAAATGGAAAAACTACCTCCTCTATTAGTCATACCTCTAGTTCCACTCGAGATCGTAGCTCGTGACTCCCAACCACTCCATCAGACCCCCCGTTCTCCCCCAACCCATCTATCCTATGATGCAGCACTCCCTGTTGCACTCTCTTTTGCTCTTCCATTATGACCAAGGTCAGGTTTTCATTGGAAAAATTCGGGGCCTCTCTGACCTAGGGCAAAGCATTAAGAATTCTTATATAATCAACCCCCAGGCCCGGCCCCACTATTTCCCCGAATTTTCACTTTCCATAAACCATAAACAAAAGAAAGTATGACCCCAAAAGAGCGACAGAGGGTCAGAACAGGTGGAAAGGCGTAATGGAAGGTGACAGAAAAGGTGACACGTCAACCACGTGAGTGTTCCGATGAGCCACCGATCTATATCGTACACTTTCCAGCTGTTATCGATATATGTGGAGGACATGTTTCGTTCGGCTTTCGCAAATATCGCTAGAACTCATTGACAAAACAAAAATGTAATCCATTGACCATAATTTTGAGCGATTTTTGTGTTTCACCAAAAAAGGATGAACGCATTGGAAAAATCTTTGGCGAATCTGTCGACTTTTCTTCGATATGAATGAGTGAATAATGACACTAGTGAGTGGGTATGAATGAGTGAGTGTGAGTAAATTAATGAGTGCCTCAGTCAGTGAGTGATTCACGGCTCTGCCTCACTTTGGCTGCCTCAAATTATTTTTAGCAATGCTACGATTTTCAATGTTTTCGCAATTTTAATTTCAATCAAAAAAGCAACAACCAAAAAAAATTTATAACACAAAAAACCTTCAAAAGCAGACACAAACGCAATTGAAGCCCACACTGTAACGTAATATCAAACGAAATCGAATCGAAAATCTATAGAAAAGTCAAACAAACAAAACGTTTCCTTTCCTTGTTGTTGTTGTTGCTGTTTTTTTTTTGCTCTTGTCTTGTCGCGTCTCATCTCGAGCTCACTTTGTTGCTGTAAATGGGAGTTTAAATGTCTGTGCTCTGCTTCTTTGTTGCTGTAAATGCTGCTCTGCTCTTCTCTTCCCTGCGCTGCTCTGCTCTGCTCTTCCCTGCGCTGCTCTGCTCTGCTCAGCTCTGCTGCTGCTCTGCTCTGCGCTGCGCTGCTCTTCCCTGCGCTGCTCAGCTCAGCTCTGCGCTGCGCTGCTCTGCTCTGCTGCTGCTCTGCTCTGCTCTGCTGCTGCTGCTGCTGTCGCTGATTTTTCTCTTGCATTCAGGTGCGTTTTCCTCATCTTTATCTTGGACTATTCTGCTACTTCTTTCGCGGTCGATGTCGCTGCTGCTGCTTTCGCGTGTCCATCTTCCGCTGCTTTGCGTGCATTTGCTGTTGTATTTTCTGTTCCTTCTGCTGCTGCTTCTGCCTTCTGCTTCTGTGTCCCCTCTCTCCCGCTGCTTACATCATAGCAGTTATTACGTTTGGCATTGAAACAAGTTTCGGCTGCCGGCAATGAAATTGCAACAGCCACACGCCAGAGGGAGAGCGCACGAACAGCCGGCTGCTGCCCGAGTGCGACGAAGTGAGACAGAGAGAGAGAAAGAGGGAGACAAAAAAGAGCGGGCAACCGCAGACTGGTTTCTTTATTTTTTCGTGTTAGGCCTAAACGGCGCTGAGCTGATCGCGTCTGCCGTTTTTCTTTTTCTTTTGTTTCTGTTTTTATTGTTGTAGTACCCTTGCAGAGGGTATACGAAATATTTGAAGAGCTTCGTAGCGCACAGAGGGTATATATTCTTGATCAAAAGAAACGCTTTTATACATAACAGACTTAAATTCAACAAAAGTTCCCGTGTAGAAGTTCCTAGAAGCTTCTGGAACGGGGGGTCGCTGCGTTTGTTTTCGTAGACAGCAGCCAAACGGAACTTCGTTGTATTGGTGTGCCGAACACCACAGACGTGTACGTGAGAGGCAGAGCATCAGAAGCGCACATGCGACAGGGCTATCCTCTCTCTCTCTGTCTCATTTTTACAGCGTGGACTGTGTTTTCATAAATGCATGCATGAAAATGGGAGGAGTGAGGGGGATACAAATGCTTTCTCCTCTTCTCATTTGGAAACAGTTAGAGCAGCGATGGAGTGTGTTTTTAAAAACATTGTGGCAAATGTTGCCAGATTTACTGATTGTCCAAATAATTCTAATCCGAGTTTTCACTTAATCCAGTTGCCTGCCCAGAGATTTTCCCTTTACTTTTTCTATTATGTTCATGTTCCTCGTGTAGGCGGTAGCCGGACCAAAACCAATACCGACTAACAAATGCTCTACGAAGTGTACGATTTAATTTTCAGATTCTTATCCATATGTACAGGGTGCGCCATCTTTTAGTGCCGATTGACTTGAGTAGTTCAGTTCTGGAAACATCTGAAAATTCAGTAAAATTGCAACCATGGGTCGCTTCCCAGCAAACCAACAAACATGCCTGTTGCGAGAGTTCCGCAAAATGCTGGCAAGCGAGCGATATTGTTTTGTATCGCAAAACTCTCGCAAACGAGCCCGCAAGCGAGACAAAAATGAGCTCTACTTCTTCTGCCGCTAAACGCTCGCAAACGATATCGCAAAAGGCCTGCAAACGATATCGCAAAAGGCTCGCAAACGATATCGCAAAAGGCTCGCAAACGATTCCTTTGCGAGCTATCATAAATGATACTTTCACTGCCACAAACTGTACAACACAAGTACTCGTATCATATTTCTATTATACGCGGGTCCGAATGCGAGCGTTTTGTCGGGTTAAGTCTCGCATTTGACTCGTATGCGATATCATTTGTGAGCGTTTGGATTGCTGGGTTTGCATCGAAACAGCGCACTGAGTTAGTAATGCTCTACATTATGTTAACTCAATGAGCATTGTCGAAATGCGTGAAAGGCGTCTGAACGGTTACTCTAAATCAAATAATTAAGTTTTTATAACGATTCTGGTATCAAAATGTGGAAATTGACGGCCTCGAACTTATTTTTGTGGGACTATTTTGCGCCAGCAAACCTCACACCATTGAAGAGCCCAAGGCAAATATTCGTGTGGAAAGATGCTCGAAAAAGTGATGGAAAACGCAGCAAAAAGGCCACTTGATTGATTTGATACCAAGGATCTCTCAAAGGATCTAGATCCATGGGGCTGCTTTTGCTGAAAAATCCATAAAATCAATCCATAAAAAGTTCTGTGGTTTTTAGGGCGGATTTGTCAAACTAAAACTAAGATTTTTAAGAGCCAACATGGGACCAAGCTCCTAGTTTTATCCGCTTATTAGACAATGTACCTGTCCACCTGTCCTGCAAGTACCCTACCTCCAATGGGCACGCACTACTCTTGCCACATGCTACTTACAACAATTCGAATTTAACCCAATCTCAAAGTGTCATCATCGTCATCGTCGTCTTCGTTGCGCCGTCGTCTTTCCCCCAATTTCGAGAGGCGCAAAACACAGGTGGGCCACACGAAAAAGCGCTTTCCCCACTGCCATAAATAACAATTAAAAAATAATAATAAATACAAAATATGTAAATGGAAATACTCGTACGAAAACCGTGGGCAGACACAACAATCACTTCAAGAGTTTATATCGTACACGTTTACGGACGAATGTGTATTGCGACTGCAATTGAAGACAATGAAATATGTATGAATGAATGAGTGAAATATGGGTTAAGCCCGAAACGAACAGAAAACGAAAGCATTCAATTCAATACTCTTTTGTGGGTCAATCATACCTACGTATGGATGTAGAAATGGATACTTGGGAGGAATGCCAGGGTGGGATGACAGGTTGTTCTATGTATTCTGCTGAGCTTCATACTTAGAAGTCTTCCATTTGAATAAACAATGCCCAATTGAGTGGATTGAAGTGCCAGCAGGTGAGTGATCTCCCGTAAGGCTCACCACGCAGTACATTTGAACGAAGAGCCACGAATTGAATGAGTGAGGGGCTGTTTTTGGGCAGATGAGTCTTTCCCCAGAACGGTAAAATGCGGAAATTTATCGGCATTAGCCGTTTATCCATAGATTTTTACAAACGATACTTCAACGATGCCCAATTAATCTACCTATACATGATTTTCGACTTTTCGAATATTAATATTTTCCAGATCGTAACAAAAAGCTAAAAAGAGCTTAGGTCCGATTTAAAGCTGTATTTATCTTCTTTTCAGAATTGCAAAGTTCTATACAACCCTGCGTAAAATTCTTAAATCATGTGAAAAAAAGAAGCATAACCTCTTAAAATACTTTAAAGAAAATACCAGATTTTAGAGGTTATAAAAAAAACCAAACCTTCAAAAAAATTCATCAAAAAGTTTTAAAAGTCAGAAAAAGTGTGAAAAAAGTTTAATTTTGTAGGCTAGAGTTATCGCTGTTACCGATTGAATGTTTTTAATGCCTAAATTGTGTAAAACTCCGTAATGAATGCTATTATTTGCAACCAAATTAGTTTTATCATGTCCATTTACCCCCGAATATTCTCACACCCAATGGATGACTGAGTTTTCTAACATCTAACCCGCAAATCGGGCTTGTGAACAGAGAGTTGTGGCAGAGTGCCTGCCAGTCACGATGAAAGCGTTCGACTGGAAAAACGCTCTTTCCCCTACGCTTACGAGGGGAGTATCAGGGAAGAGGCGGCCGCAATTGAGAGTGAAAGTCTATGCAAAAAGAAAGAGGCAACCTTGAACTGGAAATTCATTTCAATTTCAGTAATCATAACATGGTAACACGGGGCCGAAGAGAACCACACACAAGCGGCTTGGGGCGAGAGGAAACCTGTTTCTGAGTCTAGAGTTTTAGAGGCTGGGTCTGGTCTCCGGCTAGAACCAGAGACGGGGATTGAAAAGTTGTCTACTCACTTGAAACCCTTGTCATCGTCAATGCCATTAACGACACCGTTTGTGTTTGAGACCTGATCGTCCTTCTTCATGCCGTTTGTGTCGAACGGAGAGTTTGCCTTTTCCTTATCATCGTGCGACTGCAATTTCGATTGTTTGGTAATTGCTATTCAAAAAGAGATCTTATGACGACGATGAGAACTCACCTTATCATTGTCGTCAAACTTGAGGTTGCGCAGCCGCGGCTCTAGGCCGGACAAGGGGCTTTCCTTGTTTGTGGGCGATCCGCCCAGGACATATTCAACCATTTTGGCGCACTGTGAATCGCGGGGACTGAAATACGCACGTGCAAGGCGATTAAAAACTATTCAGATGCAACATACAGATCCGAAAATGTACCCACTTTCGGAAGTACAAATACCAGATGGGTAGACAAAGAGTCCGATCCGATTCTTACCTCAATATGCCCGCATTGCCGCTGTTGGATGTGTCGGAGGTGCCACCGTGTCCCGCATAGCCGCGCGATCGTGGCGGTGCCAGGATATTCTCGCCCTGCGTGGACCAGGTGTGGTCCTTCCACACCGACGACGGGTCACCCACGCCGGGGATCTGCAGCGGATTCAGGGGTCCCCCCGGTGCGCTGGATGTGCCTTTGCCATCGGACTTCTCCCACAATTTCTTGGCAGTGGATGTGGTAATCTGTAAGGGCCAAAAGAATAGATCCAAATTATAATTTGCGTGTCCATAAATTGAGCGCAAGTTGACCCCAAAGTCAGAGTCCCATAAAGCGTAATCATATTCCCCCTGTCAACCTTTTGATGTTTTCATAAATTTCCCACTAATCCACGAGTCGAGAACAAAGTTAATTCCCCCACATTTAGACCACATTTAATGACAACTTTTGCCAAAAAGTTTGTCGTAAACCGACGAAGAGGGGAGAGGGCTGGCATGTGGGATAAACCTTGAGGTTTCACTGTACTAATTTGCTTACAAGAAAGGAATGCACAGGTACTTCTGGTCGATGTTGCCTGATTTGTGGCAAAAGCAAAGCAGAATATGAGATGCGAGGGGAGGCGGTGGGGGGGAATCGTAGAGGGACATCATTCCCACTGGAAGCCAGAGCAAATATCACAGAAATCACATCATCACACAAGAAAGAAACCAAAAAGTAAAACACAATAGCAGCGACAATTAAATGTCAACGGAGCGTTGCAAACAAATTGTTAATTAACTTTTCCCCCCTCGCGTTTGCCTTCGTTTTTCCTCGCTTTTTCCTCGCTTTTTTTTTTAACCATTCCCCAAGGCACTTCCTTGCGTCATAATGCGACAGAATAATCCTCGCCAGCCTTCTGCCTCCCACACACACACACTCGTCACACATATACTGGCATATCCTGACATACAGTTTAAATATTTAATCGCTTATCAACTGGGTTTGCCCACGGGGTGGGAGGGGAGGTGAGAGGGGTTGGGGTGAGAGGGAGGGAGACGCAAAGCTGTCGACTTTCGCGCTGCGCCTCGTGCATTAATAACAACAAACACAAGCCTCAGGCCCAGCGTAAGCCAGGCCAGAACTTTCGGCTAACGTTCTCTTGGCCCCTAACCCCCCTAGCACTTCACTTGATCCATGCCTGAGAAAGTCCTACATCGACTAATGTGTCACTTCAATGTTTAATGGAATCAATCAATAACTTTACAGTCGACACATCGCCTCCGACAAAACCGTCTACGCAATGCTCATAAATTTTCAAAAATAGTCAACATTCAAAACTCTCAGTATAAACACAACAAAATTTTCGGTTCCCTACTTTATATTTTGTATATTGTGCATCAAAGACCCCAGAATCAGCTGAGAATCGCCGACGAGTGAACCCCCTACAACCGGACATCGTTGTCGGTATGTAAAAACCCACGATATGTGACAAATTTCATTGTTTTATTTAGCTTTGAAAAACACCATTAACTGAGCAAAGACTCGAATTTAAATGGAGTACCCATAACAATTTGAAGGGCATTCATCGGTCTCTAACTTCGCAACGAAATTGATAAACCCTTGAAATTAGACGACCAATAAATTGATGTGTTTCTAACCGGCTGATAGGCTGATATTTACCCGCTAGAGCTCTGCATACACCCACAGTATTCATAAATAGCAGCCATATACTTATGCCTCTTTAATGCGTCCGATCATTGCGAATCCCGCCCTTAAGTCGGATTCGAATCACTCCGAACAGAGCAAATATAGATGATAATGAACCAGTTATTCTAAAAATATAATGCCCAAATTAAAGTAGATTCATCGGATACATCAACAGCAAAGAGATTTTCAATCCCAAACCGGTTTTTCGGTTTTTCATTCGATTAAAAAATTAGTTCTTTACTTTGATTATAATTATAATTATTGCTGACCTCTTGGCAGTCATTTCATTCACAAAACCGAAACGAATTAAATTTCTGTTGTGTTTTATTTACAGTCCATTCCCAGCCGCCGCATGCCTTGCTGCTGTGCAGCATTCGAATCCCACCAGAAGGTGGTTAGCCAGCAGATCCATGTCCAGTCACAGGTCACAGTACAGGAGTGCAAGGTCAGGAATGCTCCAGCAGAGGCCCCTCGTGGTTGAATGCCCCACCAGTCGGGAAATCCCTTGGCCCAGGACCTCTTCCAAGACTAGTGGAGTTGTTGTTGATCGCTTCAGTGCTCAAGATCGCGCTTTGAGGCTGTACCTCTGCTCGAGGTTGTCCACAAGATGGCCTTCCTTTTCGACCAGAGTTAGGGCACCATCTTCCCAGGCCTGGTGCTGGTCCCAGTGCTGGCATCTTGCAGATCAGCGGAAACCTCGATCCGATGAAGAATACCGCCCGGATTGCCTTCACTGTGGCGCGTAACTTTATCGAGAAACGAGATCTTAACAATCAGTACCCAGAGCTGGAGGTGGAGTCCGATTAGAAGCTGCTCGTGGAACCTGCATGGTCCTGACTGCGCAGTGCTGGCATCACTAAAATCCTTAATCCGTCCGTGCTGGATCGCTGCAAGGCAAATTTCTGCCCTTTGGAGACTTCAAGGCGAAAGGGCCAAGCTGTAACCAGATCAGGGATCATTATACCTGATTTTTTTTGTGCTATTTTGAGTGCTACGAACCGTCAGAAGTCGTCCTGAGAAGAACACACGGCTTTTGAAAGGGAATTGGTCTTACATAAAAAATACATTTAATTTTGAACAGAACGAAAATTTTGTTGACTTTGTCTGAGGAAGTAAACAAAAACTCGGAAGGGTGTTTTGATGGAATCGAAAAGCGGAGACGCTGATTCTAACGGAGAGAGACTTCGACTCACAGGGTTGGGTGCAATGTGCTCCCTAAATTCTGGTTACAGACGTTTCAGATTCATTTAATCGCAGATGCTCCTCTCTCTGCGCGTTACCCTCTTCGAGGGTGTGAAACAAAAAAGGCGGAAAAGTGCGAATTGCAGGCCAGAAGAAGTGCTAAAAGCCAACAACAAATGCCACTGCAAAACGCTGACGCAACATTGGCTCTAAATATGGGTCAGAGACTCTCGCCAAAGTGCATGAAAATGAATGAAAACGATTTACTGGAAAGAACTATACTGTATATAAAATAAATTATTTAAACCGAAAATAAGAAAGAAATAATTTAAAAAAACACAGTAGACAGTGCTGAAAGAGAAGAAGAGGAGAGTAGGAGAAGCGACAAAAAATAAACAAATTGCGGCGCCAAGCAAAATTCAACAACAAAACAAATTATGATGAAACTGAGGCGCGATCTATACAAAATTAATGAAATTAATTCGCACAATAATAATATGGACGAGTGTTTTCCCTATTCTTGACGATCCGAAAGACTTTCCATAGGCCATCAAGCCCTTAACCCCCTAGAGCACCCGTTCCACCAGGGCTCACTCTTATACTTTCCCCTAAGCGAACGGACTCATTCCAGATTCCGAATTTTGCACGATTCAAATGCCGTTTAGGGTCGGTTTGTTGTTCAACACGGATGCAGGGTATACGAAACAGCTCAATGCGGAAAAGTGACAGAAACATAAACAAAATACCGGGTTCTTTCAGCAAATATTTTAATAATTAACAACGGAGGCAGAGGCAGAGGCAGAAGGCATAAGGAATTTGAAAATGTTTAGTATACAATTATTGCGTTTCAATGGCAAAACATATTCTCCCCCATCCCCCATTGAGCCACTTGGGCCCCCCCCTCAGAAAATCCACACAAAAGAACAAAAAATCGTTCATTAACTTGTCCTTGACTGTGAAAGAGACAGCAACACAAACACGCACACACACACACACGCACACGTACGCACACTCAGCCGGAACCAAGGGGAGTGCAAGACACAGAGAGAAATGAAGAGAGCGAGAGAGAGAGAGCACGCGACGCAGAAACCGGCCTCTTTATACAACAAAAAAAAAACAAAAATCATGCGTGTGAGACAGACAGACAAGACAACACTCACAAGAACAAAGCGAAAATGCCCACAAAGCAGAGACACAGAGACAAAAAGAAAAAGGAAAAACGAAGAAACCGACACAGTAGGCAGAAAACAAAATAGAGAAGAAAAACTTAGAATGCCAAAAGCAAAGCAGAGAGAGAGGGATAGAGAGAGAGGGCGAGCAAAACTCCCGGCCAGGTGGAAGGGTGCGGGGGTGGAGGGCTCATTTTTGCCCATAGGCTCGTGCGAAGCGAACGAAGAAGAACAAAGCATAAGCAGCAAAAACCAGTCGGGAATTACACAAATTCCATATCCAAGGCACATTTCGTGTGAGGTGCGGCATTCCCAGAGGGCGCTCTCACTCCCCGCCGCGCTGCACCCCACTTGAGTATGCCTTGGACAAATCCGTGGCTTGTTTCGCTCTCTTCGCACCCCTTTAAATTTGAAATTTATTTAAATTTCCTTCAACCTGCGTCGAGTGTAAATTTGTGTAAATTTTGTGCGTTGATTGATGGAAAGTGGTTCTCCAGGTTGCGTTTGGTTCGGAATTTCCTGGTGATTTCAGTCCCCACGATCTAGGAACAGAACTTGGATTCCATATCAAATTCCAATGTGACACATTACCAAGTGATAATCAAGTGGCTAATGATCCGCGTATCAGTTTGGAGCTTACAATGGATGGATCTCTGATGGGCCACATGTCAAATTTGTTGGGAGGAGAGCCCAAGTCCTGTGACCAAGATGGAACCCATAGAAACCAAACTCTTTTTTCAGCTCTTTTTCGGACATAGAACCAGAACTGTGAACTCTTTCTCTTGGGTTTAATTGGCCAATCAGGTTAATAACTGGTTCTATTTCGCTCCATTTAAAAGCATAAAAAAATACACTTTATTTGGATTTCTTTGGAATCATAATCTCTAACAATGCAATAAATACTCGTATGGGCTTTTAAGGTCTATTTTGGTAAACCTTCGAACCTTCTTCAAGGCAGTAATTGAACTAGTTCATTATGATAATTTGAACAGAGCAAATATAGACGATAATGAACCAGTTATTCTATAAATATAATGCCCAAATTAAAGTAGATTCATCGGATACATCAACGGCAAAGAGATTTTCAATCCCAAACCGGTTTTTCGGTTTTTCATTCGATTAAAAAATTAGTTCTTTACTTTGATTATAATTATAATTATTGCTGACCTCTTGGCAGTCATTTCATTCACAAAACCGAAACGAATTCA